TATAGGAATAAAAACCATGGCTCAAATGAGGGTTGTTCCATAGGTCTGTGTCTTCTGGTTGGATGGTATAAAGGACTTGCCAAAGTTTCGGGAAAGAAGACGCTGAAGGATTACACTGCACTTTGTCGCGAAAGATGTGTGACAGCAGGGACAGCAGTTTTATTTCAGTACATTAAGAACGACGAAAGGTCTTTCGGTAATCCTTTCGTGATGCAGCCTGAATCCACGATTATGTCCTTCAAATCTTGGTATTCAAGTTGATATCCCAAGTTGACCAACATGTGAAAATAGGCTCCGCAACAGTTTCGCGAAAGAACACGCTTAAAGAACACACTTCTTCGCAACATTGGCAAAATCCCAGAACAGGAGATTTGAACAAACACCAAACGAAAGATAAAGTGTGACGTCTGTGCATTTGTTCGATTGAACGGACCGTACTGGCTATGGCTCAAAAGCGATAGGAAGTAGGTCGGGAACCTTCATCCCTGCGGAGGCGGCTGGCTATATCAGCGGGCTTTTTGTGAGCTGTTGAAGACTTGTAGAGATGTCCTACATCTGCTTCAACAAAATGGTCACCATCAGTGCAGTGTTTTTGCGTTTGTGCTCACAGGATGGCTGACCCAAACTTGCTCTCCTCCGGAGCGCGGGGGGTGGGGGGGCAGGGCAGAGCATAGAGTTTTAACGTATACTAAACTCGAAGGCCTTAGTTGATTCCTTTAGTCAAATCTCTGCCTTCACAGGAGCTGGCACGGCATCCACTGCCAGTGTTTGCAAGCTCAGTTGCAAGTGAGCCAATGCTAGCTCGTTTAAGTGCTTGGTTGTTTGCATTCGTAGCTGTCACCAGTGCTGCCCCTGCCCTAGGCGGCAGCCCGTGCTGCGAACGCGGCTCGTACAAACAATGCCCCGCTTTGGACTCGGCAATGATGGCAACTGTTCAGTCTCCTTATCGATTCTCTGGCTGAGTCATTTGAATTCGGCAGATCATCCAGCAGACTCCATGTCTGGAGGCCTTTGCAGCCCATGCAGGTGGAGACAGGCTCTGATTTGAGTCTTTTTGCAAGACTTACAGCTCGCATAGCTCGCCCTTGTCTTATCCTGGCAGGGCCAGCCCCGGTCCAAACTCCCGGTGGTGCTATGTTTGTGGGAGCCATGGGCTGAGCACATCTGACCTCATCGGACCTAAGAGTAGGTCTCACCTTCCTGCATCTTGTTTCTGGGGCTTAGTATCTTCGATGACAGCTGGTGACTGTGCAGCATTTCCGTGCCCGAGGACGGCGATTCGCCAAAGAAAATCCAGTCGTCCATGTTTTCAGGAGAGGAACAGGCCTTGCCATGCCCGGCTGCTGTGCAGCTACTAGCGCTTAAAGTTTACATGGAAAATTGCAGGGGCAGAGGAAAGGTCATGGTCGAGGACGGAATCAACGAAAAAACCAGCAAAGCCCTGAGACCCATTCAGTGTGCTGTTAGGCGTCATGCAGCGCACTTGAGCGCACGCCAACTTCTCAGGACGCCACAAGCGCAGGCCCCACCAGCAGCCGGATGGGCTCCACCTCACCAGGCAGACAGGGGCAAATTGCAAGCCGTCATCATTGCATCATTGCCAAAGAATCAAGCTTGACACAGCCAGCAGCCAGCCTGACATCCACCGACATTTACATGTATCAGAGGTAGGATGCTTCAAGATTCCAGGCTCTCCCGCCTGATCTGGGGCCGCCACCCGGAAGTACTTTTGGTGCAGAGTGCGTGGAGCGTAGGGGTAGAGCAAAGGCAGCAGCCACCTTGCATGCCTGCACATCAAGCTACATCATGCTTTCTGTCAGGTGCGCATGCTGTAAGCTCCAGACACTAAGCTACGCACGTCAGGGCACTCTTCGAGTTGCTGGACTCAGGTTTGGAGCATATCCCAACCCATATGCAGCGGCAGGGATGCCGCTGCCCTATGCACCGGGTCCACCGCCACCAGCTGGTTACAACACATACATTCCGCCTGGTCCTCAGTCGCCATTGGCAGACTGCGTAGCATGGTTATGATCGCGCGAAGCAGTGCAAGGTATCCGCCTCAACCATACACGATGATGCCACCACCGACCATGTACCCAGGTGCGCTGTGTGCACCAAGCCTTTGGAAATAGCCCCATGTAAAAATGAAATCCCGCAACTGCAGCAGGAAATGCCCAGATAATACTCAATCTTCATTTTTGTGATTTCGTTCGTGCGGCGTGCAACAGTCCTTTGCTTGGTCAGGAATGCCGGCCATGCCGATGTTTCCTCACATGCCACCGGTGCCGACTATGCCCGAGTGCCTTGGAATGCACCACAATAAACGGGAAAGATGCAACGGGGAATGAAACTGTTCGAAGCCAACTTCAGTACATGGCCTGCAAGGCAAGCCCCTGCATCCAAGAATGTCTGGGCCGCAGCTGGATGGATGCCACAGGCTTCACTTGCATTTTGGAATGCCGCCTGCACTTTTCGAGGCTAAGTCTCGTAACAAGCTTCCGGAGGCTACTGCCGCAGGACTGTTCCGTGTAGAAATGCATGCCAACACTGGATGGTGAGTGGGAGTTTGGGGGTAGCAGCTTTAAGCATCTTGCCACCATGCTCAAGTATTCACGCAGGATCGTTTTCTAGAGTCTTAAGGTGCTTTGCTACTAGCCTTGCCGATGTTTCCGGCAAATGCACCTGTCAGCATGTTGCAAATTTCAAGTCTTGATGGCAGCGTGGCACAAAAGCAGCATACGTTGAGATCCCAACAGCTTGCATTGGATGAGGAGGAAAGAATCTTCGGGAGACGAAAGGGAAGAGGCGAACCAAGGCAGATGAGTGTCCTTTGCATTTTGGCTTGTGTGCTTCCCCTTTCACGCTTGCCCTGGGTGGCGCAGTTGGGAAAGGTGGGCGGGGGGGGGGGGGGGGGGGGTGTGCAGTGTGGCTGCACCGCATGGCTTGTGAAGAGGATCTGAGGTCCTTTGTGTTAGACACCCAGTTGGCTAGCAGCCCCGCAACTTTGCCAGCTCTTGCAGGAGCGCTCCGTATTGGTCTCAATGTGTCATTGAATGTTGTCAGCTGGTGCTGCTGGTACAGGTGGTGCAGTTACCTATGGAATGGCCTGAAACGGGGAGAATGATAAATCTGGTCACTTCATTTGTACAGCTCGCATGATGCAGCCACCTTGTGCCAGGGCAAGAACTCCAAGGACGGGAAGTTTTTTTTGCATGGCAACTTAAATCTGAGAACTCATGACAGTTGAAGCACTTGATAACACCAGGAACACCTGCGCTTCTGTTGTATCCAAGCATGGCCGTCCTTTGAAGCTGATGTATTCTTGCTGCACTCACGGCACACAGCCAAGCCTTGGAATTTTCGTATCCTTGAGACGGTCTGGGAAGGACGAGCCCAGTGCCGCTATCGAAGATGACGCGAACCTCAGCCTGCTGTTAAACCAGGCTTGAGCAGTTGAGGACCTCTGGCAGGATCTTGAAAACCAACTAACTGAGCAACAACTTGCTGCATGCTGGCTTCATGGAAAGGTTCGGCGAAAGCAGCGGGATGTGACCTTGGAAGAGGTTTTAAGTGAGAGCCTGGTCGTGGAATTCGCGAAGGACGGCCAAAGTGTTCTTGTGTTGCCTGCTTTCTTGGGAGAAGGTTTCTTGTATAGGACCAAGCTTCTTGTGGCAGCCTTTGCCAGGATCAGCATGGCAGTCGGTTTCTTCAGCAGAAGCTTGATGAGGTGGCTCTGCACCGGGCAGTAAAGTGAATGCCGCAACAGCATAAGCAGGTGCCAATTGGAGCATTGTTCACGATGAACTTAACCGGTTTTGTAATGTGAAGCATTTTTTGGAATTATAGCAGCGTTCTCAGTGTCATTGTGAGAATCGTGCCGCTGCAGGCGCCAGAAGACGTCAAGCAGAGGGTCTACGCGGTCCGCTGGTTGCAAGCAGCGGGTATGGTTTTCAAAGCTACCGCTTGTGCAACCTTGCCGGAGCAAATTATACTGTCAACACGAATTGATACACCAAGCTGCTGGCAATCTCATCGTGCTTGATGCTTGGAATGTTGTAACGTGGTGTAACCTGGCTTAGCAAAGCAGCAGGCCATCCAGGAGGAAGCCGCGGATCTGTCAAAGGAAGTCTTCGCCAATCATGTTGCCTGGATCTTGAGATCAGGGCTGATCTTGCTTTATCAGAGGCATCGGCTAGAACTTGCATGTTTCTTTTCTGGCCTTTGGCTAGTCGGGAATGAAGGAATGGACGAGAAAATGGAAACCATTGTAATCAGTTTTATGGGGGCTGCTATAAGGATCGATTCCTTCAGTCCTGGCTAACCAACGGCCAGTTTTGTCGAATGGGTGTTGTTGTAGTCAATCATGGGAGTGCCTACGTACTCCTGGTGGGTTCAATTTCACACGTTCCATGTTCAGAGAAACACCCCGTGAGCATGTGATGTGGTCCGTGGTGTGGAGAAAAGTCTTGGATTGCTTTTGCTCAGGTCCAGAAGATCTTCGACACGGCGGACACAGAGCACCTGCTTCAGCACGTCTGTTTCTACTGCTAGAGGGCAAGTCACAAGCTTGGGAGCTTGGTCTTGCATTTTTATTTTACAGTACTGCTGTTAGAACACAACTAGCTTAAGGACATGCTTGCATGCCTGTTTGTCATCTCTGCGCATCTGGTCCTAGGCAGAAGAAGGCTCGAATCCGCGAGAGTGGCATTCTTCTTTGCATGGATGTCATGCAGCATTGCGAAGCTTCCATTTGTTATGTTTGCCCTGTGCTTGGATGCGTTGAGCCGTAAGCAGGCCCTGGTCCGCGCGCTGGCAGAAAACGTCGCAGCACTCTCGCAAGACCAGTACGGCTGCCGGGTCATTCAGAAGGCTCGTCTGGAGAAATGCAAGCCTTTCAGAAAGTTCAGTGCCCGAGGTTGCCGGAGGTATTCATGCTATTTCGAGCGGTTTCGATTCAGTAGGTGATTATGGCCAAAGTCTCTATCTATAATATCTGAATTGCGACTGTAGACAGTCTCCTAGCCACGGATATCATCGTTGCTGTGCTTCCTTACAAGTATGAGGTGGCGTTTGTACTTGGTTCAGGCCATCCAGGCTGTCTCCAAAGAATCCCAGCAGCAGATTGCGCGGGAGCTGGAGGATCACGTGGAGTCCTGCATCAGGAGACTCCTCTGTGCTAATCGTTTGCTTCCGCGGAGCTAGGGAAAGGCTTTCTGAGTGCAGAGGAACATGCACGGAAACCATGTGCCTTGGCTTACCTTAGCATTGCTTCGCTGCATCCGCCCAAGCTCTGGTGCGCTGTCTTCATCGCCGCATCAGTATCCATCACAGCACGCTCAACAACCTCCCAAAACCGTGAGTCACGAGCCTAGGTCATTCAGAAATGCATCGAGCAGATGCCGCCGGACTCTGTCAACTTCGTTATCAAAGCTGCAGCGGCCCCAGCTGTCAGCACAGACCATGGAAGTATCCCTGATTTGGGGCTGCGAGATGCGTCATGTAAGCACTCGTTTCTCCATCTGAGAATATGCGAAGATAAAGGACAAAGAAGCAACATGAGAGAGTGTAATCAGCAATTCAGTGTTAGGTGGAGCAAAAAGCCGAAGAAACTGCCCGACACGTGTCGCTGCCTCAGTGCACGTGTGTCTGCTAGGACACTATCTTATCATCTTGTGTCTTCTGGGCAGCATGTGCCTTGCCTGTCTGGAGCACCTTATCGGCATCTTGGATATAGCCGGATGTGCCAGGCTTTTGGTACAAGCAAGGATCTTGAAATTCCGGGCTGATAAGCTTGTGCCTGGTGGGCCTGCAGCGGCTTAAGTCCGTGCAATCTGCACCCCACCGAGGCCACAATCCTGTATGACCCCTTACAAGCCCATCGCCCACGAAAACCACGAAGCTGCTTCACACGTTGAAAATGTGTATAACTCCGTGATCAAGCGCCCGACACAGCACCAAAGATCCTAGGTCCAAACATCCGTGTTGTGAGTTTTCTTCTGCTCATGGCTGGAGTTATGGCAATCACCATTGTCGTTTCCATTATGGCTTGGTTGTGAACGTTTTCCATCCTATTCCAGTTGAGATAAACATTATCATGAACGTATTGGAGCCATTCTGCCTGTGACTGTAGTTGCTTTAGTCCACTCATGCCAAAGGTTTGCAGTTGACATCCCCAAACTCCAACCCTCAGCTTGCAGCTACCGGAAGATCTGGGTCTCTTCTCGATCAGCATGGAATAGTGGGACACTGGGATTTTGTTCCTGGCAATCTGGCTGTGTGCGCGGAGCCATGGACTCCAGGGGTCTGGAAATCGAACAGCGAAACGACAACAAAACAACCGAAGTTGGCTTCTTAGCTCAGGCTCTCAGGTCAGGACCATCACACCCCGTTCTGAAACGGCGACACAAGAGATTTCATGGATATTCTACTCTTTCATACCATGGTATCTTCTTGGCGCCGGCGCAAAGGGAAAGTGGGAGTGTTACGGAAACTGCCGCCGTGCTCATTGTTGTCACTGCTACTGCTGTTTTGACTACAGGTACGGCTGCCGAGTGATTCAGCGTCTTCTGGAGCATTGCGTGTCGGCGCAGCTGGAGCCAATGCGCCTTGGCAGCTTCACAGCCAAGCAGCCTTGAGAAATGCATAGTCCGGCTGTGGAACAGTGTTTGAGGTTGGAGAAGATTCTCGTGAATGTAGCTGTGCTAGCCAAAGATGCCTACGGCAACTACGTCTGCAGCTCAGATGGGGACGGCTCACACCACCCTGACCTGCGCTTCTTGCGTGCCAGCAAACCTGAGCATCCATCCAAGCTCTTGCTCTCCTGCTAAGGTTGTACAGCACATGCTCGAGCACGGCCGCAAGGAGGACAAACAGAGTATCTTGGGCTGCGAAGACCAGTCTTGGGTTTTCAGTTGCTAGGTATGCTGCCATGTGCCCAATACCACCTGCTGCAGATGGTCCAACCTCAGGAATCATTGAGACCATTCGGTCAAACATTGCCGAATTCTCAAAGGAGAAATTCTCCAGTAACGTGGCTTGGCTCCAGCTTTGCTCGGAGGATCTGGTGACCTTGGCCTAATCTTACATTGCCAAGGTGGTCGAAAAATGCTTCGAGGCAGCCACTGTGGGCGAGAACGCCGACGACCCCATTATCCAACAGGAGTTTGGCTTGGGGAGCTTGGTCGGGTAAAGCTTAAGCGTGACCTGCGGGCATCCTTATGGTCTTGATGAGTCAGTAGTGCAGGAACGCACTGCGCTGATGCGAATGGTGCTGGAGAGGCCATCGCCTGCTTTTCACGCGGTTCAGCGTCACCACAGTCCAGTTTTGATGACTGTGTCTACGGAGCTCGGCATTTCCATAAAGATACATCCTTCCGATGTTGGGCATGCCTCTCAGGCCAGAGGTGATCTATGCTATGTGCACCAACACCTACGGCAACTACGTTGTCTGCCCGCCTTTTTGTATGGGATGGTGTTGCGCTTCTTCTCGGTCAGATGGCAACTTTCCCCAGTGCGTTGCTGACCTACTTGGAATGAAGCTGGCTCAGCAAACTTATCAAGTCGGAGGACCATGTAAGTCGGACTCCTGAGAATTTTGAGCATGTTGTCGAGAATCCATGAAATCACTGAAAGGTCGCCTGTAGTTGCCGTAGTGTTCAGCCATGGCCCTCAGCAAGTTGCGGCTCCACTCACGCGCCTGGCGACTGATACCAACAGTGTATCGGCCGACGTTTTCCATTGGCGTGTCCACTGCTGCGAGCGCTGAGAAGGCACCAAGCTCTGGCGGAGTGTCTGCGTATCTTCTGCGGGCGGTCTTCCGCGGCGCACGGACCGTGTGTGCTCAGTCGCCATTGAAGCGGACATGTTTTTGTTATTCTGTGCCTATACAGGAAGCGGCTGCCATCAGCTGCGTCACCCTTCCTGCATTGAAGGGGCTCAATCCCGACTGAGGCACAGTCACTGGTGGTGTCAGCTTGACAGTCTTCGGCCTCGTCATTTGCCCATATTTCAGTGCACGTTCCCCTATCGGAGAGGAAGAGCGCGCTGCTCTGGAACAGGACTTATTGGGGAAGCTTGGCATGAAGTGAAGCCTTCGGGCCCCCAATCTGAAGAGCTGCAAGCCACGCATCACAAAATTGAGCGAGATTGCTGCTTGTTGTCTTTGCCTACAGAATAGCTGCAAGCCAGCTACATGCCCAGGATAGTTGCCTTCGATACATCTCGCGAGCTCCTGACAGCCTCTGAGCTCTGGGAAGCCCTCAAACAGCTGCGGATGCCTCCGGTGCGAGGGGGAAGAAGTGTAGTCGCTAGCCTCCAGCCATACCTGGAGGTTGAGCTTAGGAGAGCTGACCCAAGCAGCCACTGCAGGTGTCCTTCCACGACTTGCAGCGCCCCGTGTTCTTTCGCCTGTTTGAATGGATCGGACGCTTTACCTTCGCTTGCTACTCAGATGCTTCTGGCGTAATGACAGTCGACGAGTTCAAGTGTGCCGTGCACAAGATGATTGATCCTTGGCATGGCCTTCGCCCTTTTGTCCCATCTTTTACTGTAGATGCACAATGCCCGTGCACAGCCTCAAGGATCTGGTCCTGGAGGTTCACAGCCAAATTCAGGGGCAGGCAGCTGCGCCAGTTGAAGCCCGTGCCCAGGCCGTTCGCGAGCTCACTGAGCACGTGGTTCCAGCTGTTTTTCGAGTGCTCGACTTTGATCAAAATGGGAGGATTGGTGCCTTCGAGTTTGTGAAGGGAGCGCTGTTGTTGCTTGCAACGGTACAGGGCGCACCATTGGATACACCGCAGCTGGCAGACTTGGCCTTTCGAGTAGTTGACACAAATGCGGATGGCTTCGTCACTCGAGATGAACTGCTGCGCTGGGTCCGGCTGGCCTCAGAGCACGATGTCATTCCGCAGGATGTGCTTTGCGAGCCTCGTGGGCCTTTCGGATGGTTTGGAACTCGCACGCTGACACCAGCACAGCTTTCAAAAAAGTGGCATTCAGAGGCAGATTTCAACCGTGACGGAAAGCTTGTCCCGCAGGCAGGCGAGGTAATGTAGGAAGCTTTTTTCACTCTCACAGTGCTGTGGACGTTCAAAACCGGAGTGTGCCGTGTGCCCTGAAGGAGTTTGCCGTCCTAGCGCCGCGACTTCGCATTCATCAAACGATTGGCCGGATGGCGGGTCAGTTTGCCGAGAATCGATTGCCTGCAGCGGAATAGGTTAAGCAGCTGCCAAGTGACTTGGTCGTTGGCGTTTTAACTGCTGTGGTTAGCATCCTGCCCCGTGCGGAGTTAAAAGAGAGGTTTTGTCTTGAGCCTGCACCAGAGAAGAACCCTGTTCACGTCTCCCATCATGATCTAAGTCGGTGCCAGGTGCAGAAGATGTTGGAAAACACTCGCGGCGAGGAGTGGCCCGCCCTCTGCCAGGTTGCGCGGGTAGAGCTGTAGAAGCGCGTCAAAGTGCAGTTTGTGCAAGCCATTTGCCGTTTGCCAAAAGCCGAAGGCAATTCGGAACGTGGAGAGCCAGTTGAATGCTTCGCTTGAAGCTCAGTGAATGGAGTGTACAGTCCAACTCCACAGTGGGCTGAATGCCTTGTCATAGCCATGACATTGCAGTGACCATGTCTCCGCACTTCTACGGTTCTGCAGGGGGGGTGCTGCTGGTGGCAGAGAGGTTGGATGCTCTTTTTTCGGGTGGTTCGTTGTGTGAATTGAGCCACTGGTTTTCAGTCCAAGTCGCTTTCTGTCTCTCGTCAAAGCTCAGCCCTGCAGACATGCAGGACCCCAGAGAGGTGTTCAAGCACATCCTGACTCATTTGAACAAGGAGCTCCATCCATACTTGTGGAACTTGCACATGTGAGCTGTAGTCTAAACTCCTTGAGGGGGGTTATATACGGGATTATATAGGGGAGTGTTATTGTTTGGGGGATACTAGGAGTCTAGACTATAGCTCATGTAGATTTGTTGCCTCTGACCGATTGCAAGGAATCAGGTGCGCAGCAGTGACGTCAGAAGTGGTTCTGCACTTATTTGTTCTACCTAACCTTGCACCATTTGAAACGGCAACAAGAGCCCTTCCCCTCCTCAAGATGAGGCCCCCAAAGGTGCGTGTAGCATATCCAAGGTTGTTAAATCTCTGGATCAGCAGCACTAGGCAGGAGCGCTTGTGGTCTTTGACGCACGCAGCTGATGCTGTTGGCAACCTTCCTCAAACATGCTGCCATCTGGCTCTGCTCTCAGGCAGCCTTCGCTGCGCAATCTTGTTTGGCCAGGCACCCAGCAAGGCTAGAAAGCTTAGGCTAGAATTTTCAGACAGCTTTAGCCAGCTCACATCTCTACAGGCCGCGAAGCATGCTCCTATCGTGTTGATACTGCATGTTCTTTTCAGGTGTTCGCACTGGTTTAGCCTGCTGGTGTACAGACCTTACAGAGAGAGGCCGTGGCAAAGGATCAGCGTCAGAGACTCCTCGTGTGTCGTTTGTGTATAGCATCCAAGTCATCAGACAGTTTTTTGAAGCCTGCTCTGACAGGTGGGCATTTCGGCAAAGGGGCGGCTCTCAGGGATTTTGTGCAACGCGGCAAAGCCCTGGCAAAGTTCTTGTAGCAGCTTCTGTCAGATGCTTCGCAACCTCATAAAAAGTAGTCACAAGTTAGAACAAGGCTGTTGGCGCAGTGCTACCTGGCCAAGGTATGCACGCCAGATGCCTCTCCGGAATGGTGCCCAGCGGACCAGTGCCATTCACATCTCCATCTCTCAGTGTCTCGTACAGACTCAAACACTAGCCGGGCCAGTCGGGGTGGCAATGCCTTTGTTAATTAGAATCTTTTGCAGGTTGCAAGCCTTGTAGGGCACCTCCAGCACACAACTGCAGAGCTACTGGCAAGCGCCGTCCCCGAGCTCTTGTAACAGGGCCACTGTACTCTTTCCATACCTGTATATGAGCAGCGAGCTGCTTTAGATGCTGCGCCCGAGCCATGGGAGCCTACAGCTGGCTGTGCTTGTGAAATAGCCCTGTGAAGTTCGCACGCCAGCTTTCTTGGTACGCCCCACTTCTGACGCTCGCGTAGCTGTTGCTGTAGAGATTTGCGACGCAAATTGGCATGTTGAAGCCGCCAAGCAGGTGTAAGGCCAGCTGTCGTTGCAAGCTGAAGATCTGAAGATGCAGTCCTAAAGCTCTGAACTGATGAGATCCAACAACTCTCTGTCTGGACAGCTTGCATGAGAGCTGGACCTCATCCTAGAGCCATCCTCAGTGAACAGATAGACGGATCCGTGAAACAGCACTGTCTGCGTACAAAAAGTCAACCCAAGCATTATTGTTTTTGTTTTTCTTTCCTGCTGCTGCTGCTGCTGCTGCCTACTATCAGCTGATATAGTCAAGCTTGTTTGTGTGCTTTCACTTGCTGCTGTGGAGAATCTTCTGCAGCTGGTCAAGAGAGACGTTCAGCTTTTACTCTGCATTGGAGGCCGGCTTCAAGCGAACCTGCGAGACGAGGCCAACCTCATGCAACAGCGTGGGTCAGTCTGAAGGTGAGCATGCCGATAGAGCCTGTCTGGGCACCTCCTAACCACTGCGTGATGCGGAGCACGCAGACCACACCAAAGCTCTGCTGCAGGTTCGAATTGTCCATAACGAGGTCGGAGAAGATCCTTGCGTTCGCTTCGGGCCGTGAAAAGCGCTCCTGCGATCCTCCACTCACCAGGTGATGAGTTTAGATGCGCGGGTTGCCCTACTGGAGGAGCCGTACCTGTTCTTCTGATTGCATGTATCTATTCGCTAGCCGTCGTAATGCGTGGCAATTCATTTAGATGTGTGTAGCCTTGGATTAGGAGCAGGCTGCCTTTGCTCCACGCTTTGGAGCGCGAGGTGGTCGCAAAAATGCGTTGGCATGGGCTTTGTTGTTCTACTTGTCAGTCGCGCCAGCTAGGCACAAGCGCCCTTGACAACGAGGTGTTGCTCGAGGCCTCGGACTCAAGATGAGTTTCGAGCCTTTCAAGCGGTCACTCGCTGTGACGAGGCTTGCATGAAGTATCAAGCCTGTCAGGCGCCCAAGATGGCTCATGTTCCAATAGAAGGCGCAGCTTTGTCAAGAGCCGTGTTCTTCGAACGTTTCTGTTCCATGCTGGCAGGACATGCTAAAGTACGTCCAGCTTTTGCGATGGGTACCGGGGTTGTTTCCCCGGAGAGACAAATAATGAGGGTCTTCTGGAGCACAAGCGGGGAGGTGAAATGACTCGGGTTACTTCTGTCGCATTGCCTTCCATGTGCCAAGGAGACTCGATGGGGCGGCCTGGGGGGAGCAAGGTTCGGGCTTTCGTGCTTTTTTGCAAGGCTATGTTGAGCAAAGCCTTCTCGAGCTTCAAGAAGAAAACAGCGATTGCAAATCTGTAGGCTAAACTCAGACGGCTTGAGTCCATCTTGTTCTTGGTCAGGCATACCAGTGAGGGGTCTGGGACGCGGCAAGGTGGGAGATGAGCATAGCCTGCGGTACAGTAGTGTTCTTGAAGTCATTTTGAGCTTGGCATTGGTCGATCAGAACAAGAATTCTTTCGAAATCACATGCCATGGACGGGCAAGCGAAGTGTATCAGCGTATGTTCATTTCCCACAGGGGCTGTGGCTGCTTTGAAAAAAGTGTCCGGTTTGGAAGCATGTGCTCCAAATGCCTGAGCCTCTCAGACCTTACAGAGCACGTCTAGGTAGATTACAGATTGTGGTCATGGCCCAATACTCGCCTCTGAACGCTAGACGGAGAGGTTGCTTTGCATCAGTTGCTTTGTTTGCGGCGCACCTACACAAGCAGACATTGGATGTGAAGATCCCAACCATGAGGTGCTCCGCCCGGCAGGGCGGGATGTACACCATGTTTACATGGTTGTTGTTCCCGAACCCCATCTCATGCCCCTTGGGAGGAATGGCTTACAGAGCAGGCAGCATGGAGAAATAGGCATCGTCAGATACCCATTCACGAAAGGATAAAGAGTGACGTGCAACCAGTCTGTTCCCTTATATCCTGGCAGTTATTTGAAGGCCTCCCCACGTCCTATGCTGCTTTGTTTTTCACATGCGCGGGAAGGGCTGGGTGTGTCTTTTCTCGTCGTTCCCTCTGCACACACCGCATGGATGTCCCATGCATCCGATACTTCGCCATCAGATACCGACCAGGCTATAAACAAGGGGTTTGGGTGTCCCGCGTGTCAGGTATTCTGCCATGTAATTTGTGCCAGTCATATCCCCACAGGACGGCATGTAGGGCTCCCTTATGCCCTATGACTTTAGGACTACCTGTGGTAGGCGGGAGGGCCTAGAGGGTAGTGGGAGTAACTCATGGATCAAAATGCCCCAAGCCTCCGGCCGCGGCGGATTTTTGATCAGAGGTTACCTACCATGTCAGGTGAATGCTGGAGTAGGAAAGCGATGAGGGGCTTCAAGTTGTGGAATTTGGCATATCTTGCCGACTCCAGGTTGGGTAGAGGGGAGGTGTGACATGCGCGGTGCCTGTGGGAATCTGCCATTCACCAGGAACATGCCGCTGTGGGCTCCAAGCTGGAGGATCACACATAGCTAGCCATGCACTTGAGTCAAGCTGTACCGCCCCTTGCAGAATCTTTGCTACCAAATGTGGCAAGTCACAGGTGGGATGCGTGACAAACAAACTTGCCCCATCTTATTCTAGCTTGTGAGCGCCGCGGTAGTGCGTTCGCGAGATCCGGGTCTGGAGCTCAAGTCAGCAGGCAGAATTCAAAGAAGTGCAAGGAATGTGCGATGCAGGCGTCAGAGAGTCGCCATGCCATGTGCAGCGGAGCATTTTTGTAAGCTTCTGCCTGCTTTGACAGGCCCTGGCATCCGATGACGCGCGGCAAACGCTGTGCAGGCGGACGCTTGAAAGGTGTTGATCGCGAATTGTTGGTTGTCTGACTCTTATCTCGTCTGGAGGTTCAAGACTGTTGGCTGTTCTGGCCCGTTACTCAGCAAAAGCACGTGTGCAGCACATGCAAAGACCTGAGACCAACACGATAGTCAGCGTCTGGTTTCTGCATTCACTCGAATGCCGCGAAGGTCTCCTTATTGGCCGCAAGCCAGTTCAGCCAGTGGACGCTCTTTGTTCAGCAGCATTCTGAGACTTGAAAGCCGGGAGCACTTTTTCCCTTGTTGCAAGTATGCGATGAGTAATGGTCTCTGTGTATAGTACGTAGATCCGGGTCGACCTGTCAAATTCGTTTGACCCAAAGTCGCCACAATGTGCCCCCCTTCCAAACGCTATTCTACTTCTGCATACTAGTCCGCATGCATTGTGGGTTTGCTTGCGCCGCCAAGGTTTGCGCCTTCCTCGCAGCTTCATCCGACAGCCAGGATGTGCTGCACGGATGGGGTGTCATGACATTACGGGACCTGTGCAGCCAACTACTAACTGGCAAAGGACTCAGCTGCATCGCCTCCCTCGATTTGCCGAGGGAGAAGGTTGGGCAGGAGGGGTGGAGATATCGTAGAACGCGTGTTGCTAACTTGCAAGGTGATGCTGAGACTCCCGAGCCCGAGACACTGCCTGACAAAATTCCTGAAGAAGCGGAGGTTGGGTCTCTGCTATGGAGTAGGGAGTGCAAGTTCGAACTGTGTAGCATCTGTCAGGCAGCTGCGGATGTGCCGCCAGTGAACCCGTTGTTCCAGGACAGCTTGGGAGGTTGCGGCAAGAAGCGCTGTGCGCAGGGCAGAGCAGAGCTGTTTCTGGGCTCTCAGCGTTCTAACTGCTGGGAGGTTTGGAGGGCACCTGGGAGGGGGAAATTTGCGAACCGCTGTGTAGTTTTGTGCAATGTATGGTCTCTAGGCCCTTGCAGCTGCTCTCGACACAGGGAGAGACAGAGGGTCAGTGAGCTGCGAGTCTGCTCTGCGCCACAATTGCGGCATCGGTAGAATGCCTTCTCATGTTACCAGGCTGCACGCCTCGTCTGGTTTTAGCCACGTACCCTTCTGCGAAACCTTCTGACACCAACTTCACAAAGCGGTC